GGCGATCACTTGAATTTATAATCACAATTAACCCTAAACAAGATTATTAATTATCTTATCAAGCGTGATTACAAGTACCAATTCCCTTGAAACAAGCATAAAAGGCGTGATCAAGCAATAACAATAAATAGCATCAAGCAACATAATAAATAATCATTATCATGAATAATAATTGAAATAATTATCATCAAAATAATAATAATAATAATAATAATAATAATAATAATAATAATAATAATAATAATAATATTCATAATCATCATAAATTATAACAATTATAATCATAATCATGTTCATGTTAATATTAAAGCATAATAAAAATAGCAAGATCCTAGGCATGATACTAACAAGATTAATAACAAACCCTAGCATGTCACTAAGCAATAAAAATCAAATCTTTAGCCCTAACATGATACTAACAATCATAAATATTAGGAAGAATATAGGAAGCATCGTAACAACCATATTTAATATTAAAAATACCCTAGACATGATACTAGGAATATCATAATAACAATATAAACATGATTTCTACATCATAATATCAATTAATCAATTAAAGTACTTACTTTGATGCCTCGTACCTCTTTCTAATAACAAAATACACACGTTAGTAACTTCAAAGAAAATAATAAACAAACAATTAAATTAAATAATTGAAAGAGAGATTTGGGACCAAACCCTCAGAAATTAAACCTTTCACGTCTAGGGCGAAGGCAACTTCGAATATGGCTAGGTGTTTCTAGATCTTGTGAATGCGGAATTTTGTATGTGAAAACAAAGTTTAGAAAAGAGAGAGAGAGAATAATCAAGGAAATCTTGATGAGAGTTGGTGAATGATAGATGTAGATGATGAATGAAAACGGAGTTTTTAATACGATATTTATAGAGAAAATCAGCCAAAAAGATAAATTAACAAAACAGAGTCTGACGCTCAGAAAACAAGGCTGGCGCCAACCCTGGCTAGCTGGGGCTAGGCACCAACACCAGCGCCAGGCACCAACACCAGCGCCAGGCGCCAGACCTGGTTCCAGGCGCCAAGGCCTGGGGTTAGGCGCCAAGCCTGATTCCAACGCGTTTTCGAAAATCCGATAAGTTTACCATACTGGAGGATAAAATAATATAATTTCCTCGAAAATGCTATTTGATTTTAATTAAAACTCTGAAAAGTCAACAAAAGCCAATTTATCAATGCTAATTGAATTAGGAATGAAAAGAACCTTCTAGAAGAATCTAGAAGACTAAAACCATTCCTAATTGCATTAGGAATGATCATAATAGGCCCTCCCCTAGATCATTGGGCCGTACATAAAGCTTAAACTGGGCCTAGTTTAGTAAATTGGCCATAACTTCCTCAATATTCATCGGAATTGGGCTTATAATATATCGTTGGAAAGGTCTTTGCAAGCCCCATCCAACTACACTACTATTGGACCCATATCATGGACCAACCAAACTGGATTGACTGTTTTCTTAAAATAAGTTTTCAAAAACAGAGAGAAGAGAAAAGAAATTAAAACTTTCCGCAACACTAGACCTTTCCACACTTTCGTTTCATTCGATTATGATTCGACGTGAAAGGTACTCATCACTGGGTTTGGTTTTGGGGAGACACAAATGGGTGTCTACACCTAGCAAATAGTTTTTTTTAGATAAGGATAACAATTATGTAAGGACTATCATTTTTAGAAAAAAAAAATCACTTAGATGGTTATTTTGATAAAATTAAATTAGATTGATCTAAACTTAATTATTATATCGTACTTTTCTATTTAATTTTGAAAGATAAAACCATTTTTAATTATTTTTAGTCAATGCGTCATTCTAGTTTTAATTCTACAAGCTAAGAGACGCACACAATGTGTGCGTGTGAAATATAAGTAATATACAAGCTCGATTTTTATTCCATAATATAATCTCCTTAATACTAATTTAAAAATATTAGTGGGTTTTAAAATTGTTAATAAAATATTATAAAAAAATATGTTATTAAAAAAATATGATGATGATGTTATGTACGCTAAATATTTGACTTTCTTAAAATAAAATTAAAAAAGAAAACATAGTAGTTATTTATTTTTATTATTTTTTTTTTTACCAAGATGATGTTTTTTTAAGGATGGTAGTTCTTTTTTTTTTTTCTAAAAAAATAAGCTGAAAGGAATATTTTGGGAAAGTGAAATTTATCATCTAAAACCCCCTTTCACTTTATATATAGGATAGAATTATTAATCTTTTTTAAAAAAATTTATCTTTAAATTGACGTATTGACAATTTTGTGTAATATTTTTCTTTATTTATATTTTGTGCGGACTGATCATATTTACACCTTATTAACTTCACTTTACAAAATTAATATTTAATTTGAGTTTAGTATAATTAATTTAAATTCAAAAATAAGTTTAGTTAAGTAAAAATAAGTTTAGTTAAGTAATAATCAATAACTTAGCTTTTAGAAAGAAATATAACATAAAATCAACAAAAATAATTTCAGTTTAGCAAAAATAATTTTAATTCAGTAAAACTAATTTAAGTTCAGAAAATATAATTCCAGTTCAATAAAAATAATTTCAACATAGTAAAAATAATTTCAGTCTAGCAAAAATAAGGTAAAATGAATTGGACCTTAGTTATACAGTAAGGAAATATATTTTATACTAGTTTTGTTTCAAAATGATTTAATGGAAGAATTGATGTGATTTTGGTAAAAATAAATAAATAAATAAATAAAAATAAGGAAAAATTAGAAATAATAATCCCAACTTCTGTCAATTTTGGTAGAATAATCCCAACTTTGGATTATACTGGAATAATCCGAACTTTAGGGGGTCTTGTTTTTTTCTTCAATCCCAAATACCAGTTACCGGTTTAATGAGTTAATTTTTGTTTGTTTGTTAAAATGACACGTGTTGCAAAGTAATTGGTTAAAAAATATTAAAAAAAAAACAGGCAAAACCTCAACCACCCTTAGAACTCTGGCAACCTGCCACCTCGCTAGCTGGCCCGTCGTCCCTCCCCCACCACTAGACTCGCCGCTCTGGCGCTTCTCCTAAGCCACAGCCCCCCCAACCCCCCCCCCCCCCCACATAACCACATATAAAACCCATCCATCCCCCGTTTCGAAAACTTCCAACCACCACTCCACTTACCCCAAAACCCTAGCGGCTAGGGTTTTTGACGGTGAGGAAGTGGTTGTCGGGGTTTCGAGAGTGGAGGAGGGGTTTTGAGTGTGTTTCGAATGGTTGGAGGGGTTTAAAGGGAGTTCCAGTTATGGAGGGCGGAAATCCAAATTGGGAAAGGAGGGGATTAGGGGTGGAGGTGGGTCGCAACGACGGCACATGAGGTTCGAGGGGAAAGCGGTACACTGTTGGGGCAAAGGAAGGGAGGGGTAGGCGCGGGCGGCGATGGCAGGTGGTGGTGGTTACAGTGGTCATCTAGAGGATAAGGGCTTTCTGGTTTTTTTTTTCAAAAAAAAAAAATTAATTTTTTTATTTTTTTTTGGACCAATTTTAACTTGACACGTAGCACATAACCTGTAATAGTAGGTCATTGAATTTTGTTAACCGGTTTGAGATTGAAGAAAAAAAGACCCCCAAAGTTCGAATTACTCCAGTATAATTTAAAGTTGGGATTATTCTACCAAAATTGATGAAAGTTGGGATCATTATTTCTAATTTTTCCTAAAAATAAAAGAGGGTTATACATTCAGTGATTCAAAGGAGATAGTATAGACAAAAAAAAAAGCTGTCAAATTTGGCTCTTTAATAGAAATATTTAGCAAATTGTAATAATTTTATACCCATACTTCTCAAGTTTACCAAATAAAAAAAATAAAAACCAAAAAAAAAATATACTTCTCAAAATTACATTTTATATTGATTTTATTTAATTACATTTTATTATGATTTCAAATAGTAAACCTGTAAGATAACCCTTAGCCGAGGGTGAATCCTCTAACGCTTAAATTAGGCGTCAAACAATGTATAATTTTAATATATTTAGAGAGATACTAGATTTGGTCTTCTTAGATGATAAGAGTGACCTCCTTTTACCATGTCCGAGTATATTTATATGCGTTGTGTATATCATATAACTAATATATAAAGCTAAACTTTTAGCCAGGTCACGAGGCATCGACACTTGGCGTTTCAACTTTTCGCCAAGTGTCGCGCCATGTTGGATAGATTTAAACAGACGTTTTAAAAGTTAATTTAAAATTCTATTTGGATATAATTTTAGGATAAAATTGTTAGTTTAGAGTTTTATTTTCAATAAAATACCAATATTTCAGAGGTACAAATTGAATTATAATTTTGTTAAAAATTTTCGATTAAATATATCAAATCGTCATAAAAGCACATCAATTCCTAACTAATTTTGTATCAATGATAAAATTAAAATTTTGACATATAGATTAAAATTTTATCTTCAATAAACAACCCGGGCATCGCACGGGGCACAAAACTAGTATATATATATATAGTAATAATAAAATATGAATGGACAATAATGAGTCCTATTAGTGTATTTGGCTTATTTGGGCCTTGTGAGCCTTTTAGTATGTATATATATATATATATAGTAATAATAAAATATGAATGGACAATAATGAGTCCTTAGACTAGTACGAGTAGGATTACCTTAGGATATAACCATTTAATACTCAAACAATAAATATAGTGGTAAGTCAAAGGTTAATAACAATGCACAACTACGGAGTACATGAACATAATTAAATGCTATTAATTTAATTTGACTAAAGTAAGCAAAACAAATATAACAAATATTTAATTGATCATTTTGTCAAAATATACACCAATTCAATTTTATTAGTGCGGTGCAAATCTTAAAGTCTCATCGGCAGCAAACGTGCGATCGACTTACCGCACGAAGCTAAAGAAACATTGAAATAGATAAGCTTAAATGATGTTATAAATATAAAGGAGGCATAATATAAGAAGTGGAACTTAAAAATAAAACAAAATTGAAAAAAAAAATAAATGGCTTATTGTTCTCATTTCTTCTTATTAGCAACCATTGTTGTTTTTGCCTTACTAAGCATTGCTTCAGCAGAATACAGGTCCGGCCGTAGCCTGAAGCCGTACCGATCCGATGATCGTCCATCCTACAAGGCTGGGCGTAGCTTAGAGACTTACGAACCGGAAGAAAATGCTCCAAGTTACAAGTCTGGTCATAGCCTACATTCATACAAACCCCTTGAAAAAAGTGATGATGCTATAAATATTCAAGGAATGATCTATTGTAGAGAATCCAAGGATTTGATTCCCATGCAAGGTAATATATAGTCTCATGCATAGCAATTGATAGCATAATCTTTTGTATTGCCATTAATATCACAAATTTTTCTACGAATTCACAACTATAGCAAGAAATAACTATAGGGTGATGAGAAAGAAAAAAGAATACTCCGTCTATTTCATAATAATCACAACACTTTGATCAACACATATGTCAATACTTTACTTTGACCATTAATATGTACGACAATTCATTACAGGGGCAACAGCAAGGGTTACATGCATGTTAAAGGACAAATATGGAGATGAAAAGGCACCTTTCTCAGTAAAGACACCAGTCACAGATAAAAAGGGTTACTTCCTTATCAATTTAGCCAATTACACACCTCCAGGCTACACCCTCGGCAGCTGCAGGGTGTTCCTTAATGAACCCGCCGATTACTGTGACTGCAATGTCCCAACTGATACTAACGATGGCCTTTCTGGTGCTCATCCTTCCAAACCTAGACGCCTTTCGGACAATGCTATCATCTACTCTGTTGCACCTTTTGTCTTCAAATTATCCTCAAAGTAATAGTAATTGGGTTGAGAGGAATTGAAGCTCTTTCCTCTTTGGTCTTTTAATATAACCTTATTTAATTTATGTTTTACCAAATAGGGTTGTTCAAAAGTAGCCCTTTTAATTTCTCTTTGGTCTTTGACCTTTAAATTTTCTTTTATGTTTAATTGATCATCAATCGCCATAACTGGGATGATTGTTAAATTAGTTAATATAAGTGTAGTTTGAATGTTATTGGGTGATATTTGGGAGAAAAAGAGATAAATCTTTCTTTTGTAGCATCAAAACTGTCATTTAATTCTGATTATTGAGAATTATTGAGTTATGTTGTATCAAAATCAGATATATTGTTACGTAGAGAGAAGTAGTTTTCTTAAGTTTGAAGGTTATTTAATATCAACTTTGAGTATTTGATGAGTGAGAAGAAGAGAAGAAATAAACTAGAGTTGAATATATATAATTTTACTTCAGTAAAATAAGTTTACGCCTGTAGAAATAATAGGGAAATTCTCAGTGGTACTCTCTAATAAGGTTTTGAAATTGTCTTTGGTACTCACTAGCTAATTACCATTTCTAATTCAACTGTGATATTAATGATATAAATATGCAATTATAATTAGAAGCTAATCCTTGTTAACTAAAGCCTAAAGGCATAATGACTAATATAACCCTATTATATAATTAAGTTAAAAATTAAAACCCCAGCCACCGCAACTTCAACCCACTGTGAGCCCCCCCAACCCTGCCAGCTGTAGCCGACGACCCTCTCCTTCCCTTCCCTAGCTTGGCCCCGCTGACCCTCTCTTTCCTCGATTATAAGCCAACCCTTTTTTTTTTTTTTTAATACGTGTGTTTTAGGCATTTTTCTTTTCTCTCCCTTTTTAAAAAATTAACCATGGTTAATATTTATTTAAAATGCTTAACTAACGTTACTATTGAATTAGTTTTACAAATTATAGATTACCAAAATTAAATCCAGTTCAATAAAAATATTTAAGTTTAGCAAAAATATTCACTTAAGTAATTTCGTTTCAACCAAAATAAGATTAAGTGAACAACACCTTAGTCTTGGGTTCAACAATACTACTCGCACTCCGTAAATTTTTTTTTTTTTTTTTTTTTTTTTTTTGAAGGAACGCACTCCGTAATTTATAACTCATTACATAGTATAACTTTACCAACGAGAAAGGCAACATAACGCATTGGAAATGTGATTAAAGAAATCCTCTGGCTGTCTAGGCAATGTCTTTCTTGTGCTTTTTCTTTTGTCAAAAGATTTGGGAATGGTGTTGCTTAATGCTTATAGCTTAGCTAAGTTAAGCAGCTATTCAAGAAGTTCCTTGCTTAGTCTGCCTTTTTAGCAAATTAAGGTATCAATTTTATTAGTTTTGATATTAGTCATTTAGGAGAGTAATTATTCAAAATTATGCTATGTTGGCATTGGCGGATCTATGTGTGTGCACATTGGTGTACGTAGGGGTGTGCATAAATCATAAATGGACCTAGACCGGAAAACCGACCGGGACCGGATCGGGGGACTCCGGGTTGGTCTTCGGTCCTCACAAATTTGCAATTCCGGGTTTTCGGTCCGGTTCGGGTAAAAACCGGAAATATTATGGTCCGAACCGAAATGGACCGAAAAGTGTATTTTTTAATTTTTGGATAAAAATATAAATTTAATGTTTATTCTTCTAAAAAATTTAGGTACAAAATTTGTAATTTATAAATTCTAGGTGCAAAATAGGAAAGAACGCAAACAAAAACAAGACGTTAAAAAATGTATGTATATATTAAGATACTAAAATGAAAAAAAAAAAAAGGTCCATTCCGGTCCAGAACCAGATGGGACCGGAATAAACAGGGCGGACAGATTGATTACGGTCCGGTCCCCAAAAAAAGTCAATTTCAAGTTCCGGTCCGGTTTTGGACCGATGCACAGCTCTAGATGTACGTACGTGCATCATCGGTTAAAAAAAATGAAGTTCAGCCTTTGAAAAAAAAAACTGGTTATTATAGATAATGAGTCTCTTTGATACTGCTACGTTACTGAGCGTGAAGCTAGCTCTGTAATATTAAAGAGACCGATCAACTATAATAATCGGTCTTTTTTATTGTTCAAGAAGTCTTATATGTGGCTAGCCACATGGTATGACCACTTCACAATAAGACAATTAATTAAGTAATAGGGGTTACGATGATGATAAAACGGGGTTATCTTGAAGTTTGTATGTGGGTTACTTAAATGAAAAAAGGGGTTACCCTCTTACAAAAGTGGAATCAGCTTTCAACTTTTAACACGAAAAATAGGGATTACTCGAATAAACAAATAAGATTACCATTTCTAAATTAGTTGAGATATTACTCATATCATGAATTGGAGTTACTTTACTCTTATGAATAAATAGGGTATCTAATATACATAAATAAGGATTATTCTTATTAATCAATGTGACCACATCGTGTGGCTATCTCCATACAAGATTTAGGGCATGTTCTCTTACGTTGAAATTCAATTCAGTTCAGTTCAGTTCAGTTCAATTCAGCTCACTTCAGTTCAGTTCAGTTCAGTTCAGTTCAGCTCAGTTCAGTTCAGTTCAGTTCAGTTCAGTTCAACTCCTAATTTCCTTCTCTTATAAAATATTCATTCCACTTCAGTTCAGTTTAGTTCAGCTCAGCTCAGTTCAGTTCAGTTCAGCTGAGTTCAGTCAATGAGAACATGCTCTTACTCTTGATTGTTTATATTTAAAGAGAGTGATTATCTTTTATAACCGGTCTCTCAAGTTATCTCCTTTTTTTTTTCTTTTTTTCTTGCTTCTATTTATATCTTTATATGTGTGCAACTAATTTTATGATTTTTTTCTAAAGCTTTTCAATTAATAAGTTAAAAAAAATCATGAAGTTAAATAATAGTTTTATAGTACCATTTGTTTGTAATATGTTATTTGAGTAGTAATTTTGGCTTGTAAAATGTAATTTTTACTTATTATTATTCGGTTGTAGTATAGATTTTTGTGTCCTATTTTTAGATTGAAATCAATTTGGTAGTAATATAATTTTTGGATTGAAACACTACTAAAATTCGACCAAATTGCGACCGCCTTAAATAGTCGCAAAAATAGCAAAAACGGTCGCAAAAAATAATTGCGATCGTCAACGGTTGTAACATGGTGGTCGTTATTCTCTTGGTCGCAAAAAAACAATATTACGACCGTTTGACGGTCGCAGATTTTTTGCGACTGTTTTTACTATTTTCAACGACCGTTAAGAAAACGGTCGCAAATGCTATTAATTACGACCGGCATATTAGCGGTCACAAAAACAGAATTTTGAGACGATTACAGGCGGTCGCAAAAATTGAGTTTTGCGACGGCTATAGGCGGTCGCTAAAGGTAATTAAAAATAAAAAAAAATTGTACACAAATGAACCCTGCAGGTTTTTTTTATCAAAAAAAATAATTAAATAAACCCAGTAGAAATCAACCATATATGAAACCCAATAGATCTAAATCAAATCGAAATTTAATCAGCCCAAAAACAAATAACAAAATTCAGGTTTTAGAAAAAAAAAACAACCAAATTCAAATCACAAATCAAACCGAAAATCAAACAAAAACCAAATAACAAAACAAACCAAAAATCAAACGGAAAAAAAAACCACAAACTTAAAAAAAAAAAAAATTAATTCGAACAAACTTAGAATAAAATTAAATTTAGATTAAACTCAGAATAAAAAATTAGATTCGAACAAACCCAAAAAAAAATTAAATTCAAAAAAACTCAGAAAAAACATAAATTCGAACAAACTCAGAAAAAAATTAAATTCGAACAAACTCACAAAAAAAAATCGAACAAACCCAGAAAAAAATAAAATTCCAACAAACCCAGAAAAAAAAAATTAAAGTCAAACAAACTCAGTGAAATTCGAACAAAATCAGGAAATTCGATTCCACCCTAAAAATTCGAACAAATTGAACGAAAATCTTAAACATCATAAACAAGCAAATTCGAAAACAAAATCAACGAAAACACCCTTCACCCACCCTAAAAATGGAACAAAACCAACAAAAACTACTTAAAATCAACGAAATTCGAAAAAAAACTCAAACAAATTTTGAATAAAAACGAAATAAAACAACAAAAATCGAAAATATATTAAAACAAACTACATTTTCAGAAAAAACAACGCACCTTAGCCAAAATTTCTTCCTCTTTGGGGTTATATGGTCAAATTTGACCATGAAAACTCTAGATCTGGAATTTTTAGGGTCAAATTTGACCATGAAAACTCTAGATCTGGAATTTTTAGGGTCAAATTTGACCATGAACACCAAATTCATTTGTTGCTCAAACCGTTATACCAAAATCCGAAAGGAACAAAGGGAGGAGGAGAGGCGTGAGAAAAGAGAAGGGAATACAAAATCCAGAAATCCCTCCCATTAGTTTAATACTTGAATTTGATCGATTTAGAGAAAGGAATGAGAAAAAGAGAAAGGAGAAGGGGAGTGAGGAGATAGAATGGAAAGAGAAGAAGGAAGAGAAGGAGATGGAGCCATGGAGGAAAGTGAACATGCGTGAGAAAGCAAAAAGAAGAGGAGCAGAGAGAAAAGAAAGAGGAGGAGGAGAAGAGCTGAGAAACTTAGGGTTTGGAGAATGGGCTCCTTTTATACAAAATAAAAAAGTCCTTTTGCGACCGTAAAAGCGGTCGCAGATTCTGAAAATTACGACCGTCTTTGACGGTTACAGATTATGACATTTACGACCGTCTCTTTGACGGTCGCAGATTCTAAAAATTACGACCGTCTTTGACGGTCGCAAATTATGACATTTACGACCGTCTCTTTGACGGTCGCAGATTATGACATTTGCGACCGTGTTTGACGGTCGCAGATTATGACATTTACGACCGTCTCTTTGACGGTCGCAGATTATGACATTTACGACCGTCTTTGACGGTCGTAGATTATGATATTTACGACCGTCTCTTTGACGATCGCAGATTATGACATTTACGACCG